CACAGCCAATATGCACACAACAATGTCCCACAAACAGCCATGGAGTGAGTGACCAATTTTATTTGGGGGATTGTTGGCCGGGACCCCAGGAGAGAGAGAGAAACTCCCTTCTGTTTTTGAATAGCGCCGCGCAATCTTTAATGTCCCCCTGAACAGGCTGATGGGACCTCAGTTTAACGTCTTTGAAGGATGGCACCTCCAACAATGCAACACCCATCCATGCCCCCCAGCTCTGCATTGAAGCATCAGCTTAGATTCTATGAGGTCCAAGTCCCCACGTGGGTCTTGATCCCACAATGTTCTGACTCAGTGGTGAGAGAGCCAGGCTGACACAGGGATATGCTGTAGCGTATCTAGACTTTAACAGGCATTTGACAAAGTACCACATGAAAAATTCCTCCACAAACTGTGGTCCCTGGGTGTCAAGGGCAAGGCACTGACATGGATTCAAAATTGGCTGAAGGGAAGGAAGCATTAGGGTGTTTGGGGGGATCTGTGGAATCAAAGGAGGTAGCAAAGGTCCTACAGAGAGAGCCTGATAGGCATGGGCTCCACATGGGCTGATAACTGGCAAATGAACATTAATACAGATACATACAAGGCCCTACATATAGGATCCAAGACTAGGAAACACAATGGATGGGAGTGAACTTGCTGAGGGGGCAAACTGAGAGAGATCTAGAGGTGTTAGCTGACTCACTGCTCAGTATGTCAGGCAGCAATAAACACGGCAAACAGGACACTGTTCATATTGTTAAATCAGTGAGTTCAGATCCCCAGACATCACCCTCAGGCTGTACAGTGTCTGGTTAGGCCACACACAGATTACTGTAGACAGCTCTGGTTACCGTGACATCAGGGGCTGTCCAGGCCATAGAGACAGTGCAGAGGAGAGAAACAAGGCTGGTCCCCAGTGTTAGAGGAATGAGCTGTGAGCAATGTTTAGAGAAGATCAAGCTCTTCAGTCTTGAGAGAAGCTGACTCAGAGAGAACCTCATAGAGATTTGTAACGTTTAAAACGGGATTGAAAACATAAACCCAGATCAACGCTTTCAGATGCACCAGGACAGTAAGATACAGGTTTAGTGTTTGGTGTAAAGGGCAATTTCAGGACAGATATCAGGAAGTATTTCTTTACTCAGAGGATAATTAGTGACTGGAACAGGTTACCAGAGAGGATGGCTGAGGCCAGGACATTGTGGAGTCCTGTAGCTCAGTGGTTAGAGCACTTGCTTTGCAAGCAAGACACCTGGGTTCATTTCCAGGCAGGGCGAAACCTTGGGCAAGTTTCCTTACTCCACACGCCTAATAATAATCCCTCCAAAAAACCCAAAACAATAATAAATTGGTCATTTTCAATCTACGACTGTTTGTGGGACATTGCTGTGCGCAATTGGCTGCCGCGTTCGCCCACAAATATACAGTCAATTCACTTTACAGTATATTCTGTGAAGCGCTTTGGGACGTCCTCCCGACGTGAAAAGCGCTATATCAAATGCAAGGATTATTATTATTATTATTATTATTGGACTCATTTGAAAAACAGTTTAATGCTGTGATGGGAGGACAGTCGGGTGGAAAGATTGAGATGAATTATGACTAAGCTGTTCTCTGTCCGGCCTACATGGTAAGTCTTCACTCGTGGAGTCCTGTAGCTCAGTGGTTAGAGCACTCGCTTTGCAAGCGAGAGACCTGAGTTCAATTCCAGGCAGAGGGCGAAACCTTGGGCAAGTTTCCTTACTCCACACAGAGCCTAATAATAATCCTCCAAAACCAAAAACAATAATTAAATTGGTCATTTTCAATCTATGACTGTTTGTGGGGCATTGCTGTGCGCAATTGGCTGCCGCGTTCGCCCACAAATATACAGTCAATTCACTTTACAGTGTGTTCTGTGAAGCGCTTTGGGACGTCCTCCTGACGTGAAAAGCGCTATATCAAATGCAAGGATTATTATTATTATTATTATTAGTATGCCTGATGCAAATAGGAAAAGTGAAACTTTGACTTGTGAGAGAGTGAGGGAGGGAGGGAGGGGGGAAGAGGGGCAGAGTGGGGGAAGGGGAGGGAGGGACGGAGGAGGAGGTGTGACCTCTGGCTTCGGTTCTGGCAGCGAGTGACCCGGACACACTGACCCCAAACCTTTGGCTGAAGGACGAACAATGAGCTGGAATGTTCCAGCACAGACCCCTCGTCGTCAGCCGCAGATTCACACAAAACCCAAGCTTTTATTACTTGGTCTGAAATTACATAAGAACATAAGAATTTGCTGGCGAAACAACAACAACAACAACAAGATTCCATTTATAGAGCGCCTTTCACGTCGGGAGGACATCCCAAGGTGCTGTACAGTTGGGTCAGGACCCGAGCCTTGGGGGGAAAATGGTCAGGGTAAAGGGAGGGAACGGAGGGAGCGAGGAGTGGGGAAATGGTCAGGGTGAGGGGAGGAAAGGGAGGGAGGGAGCGAGGAGTGGGTAGAGAGTCGAGAGGGGAGCTGAAGGCACGGTCAAAGAGAAAGGTCTTGAGACCGGCCTTGAAGGAGGAAAGGGAGGAAGCTGCGAAGGCAGTGGGGGATAGAGTTCCAGAGCCTCGGGGCTGAGAGGCTGAAGGCCCGGCCACCGATGGTAGGGCGGTTGGGGCGGGGGATGTGGAGCAGACTGGAGCCAGAGGAACAGAGGGTATGGGCAGGTAGATAGGGGGCAGTAGGTTGGAGAGGTAGGAGGGAGCGAGGCCGTGAATGGCCTTGTAGGTGAGGGTGAGGATCTTGAAATCGATCCTCTGGGGGATGGGGAGCAGTGGAGGCGAGCGAGGGTGAGGGCGAGGGTGGGAGTGATGTGGTCGCGGTGTCTGGTGCGGGACAGTACACGAGCTGCAGAGTTCTGAATGACCTGCAGTGTGGAGGGAGGGCCGGGAAGGCCGGCGGGGAGAGAGTTCCCATAGTCCAGCCTTGAGGTGATAAAGGTGTGGACCAGAGTTTCAGCCGCGTGAGGGGTGAGGTAGTGCCGTAGTCTGGCGATATTCCGGAGGTGATGGAAGGCGGTGCCGGTTGTGGTGCAGATATGAGGGAGAAAGGACAGCTCAGGGTCGAACAGAGCCCCGAGGTTCCTGATGGCTTTGAGAGGTGGAGAGTGCAGCCTTGGATGCTGATGGGGTCAGCGCCTGAGGTGCGGAGGCGCTGACGTGAGCCAATCAGGAGGGCCTCAGTTTTACGCACGTTGAGCTGAAGAAAGAAGCCCAAGATCCATCCAGTTCACCTTCCACCAGATCCTGGCAGTCTCAAACTATATTATCAACAGATATTATTTTTTAGCAGAAATTTATCTAATTTTGTCTTGAAACAAACAACATTTTCTGCTTCCACTGTCTGTCTCCCGAGGCAGCTTGTCCATACGTTTACTGCTCACTACTGAATTAGTATTTCCGCAGATTTGTTCTGCATTTATCCCCCTTCAATCACAGGCCGTGTCCTCTGGTTTTACTTCTAAATTGTGCCGTAAAAGCATGGCAGCCCATTATGACTGTTCCCCTTGTTCTTGTCACTCTGCGTTAGTGCAGTGAGGAGATAGAGAGTTGTTTGCACAAAAGGCAAAATGCTGCAGACGCTGGAAAACTGATATAGACACAGAAATCACTGGGAACAGTCAGCAGGTCAGGCCGCATCGACCTGAAATGTTGATCCACTTTCCTCTCTCCATAGATGCTGCCTGACCTGCTGAGCCACTTCTGTTTTTATTTCATTGTTGACACAAACCATCTTCCTGTAAAATGGACAGTGAAACATCCTTGATTCAAACAGCCAGAGTGGGAGAGGCTGCCCGCCCGCCTGGCCCAGCCTTCTGCCCGAGTAAGTGCCCGACTGAGCAGGGGGCAGCGACCAGACTCCCCTTCCCCCCCCACCTCCACCCGCACCCCCACCCCAGCCCCATTCCAGGCCATATGCGGGAATCCATCAAATGGTTCAAAAAAAGCAACAATTAAACATTGTTGGGCGAGAGAGTCTCTGACCCCACCTTACACAAAATTCCGAATAACTAGGTTCTCACTGTCCAACCAACAAGATAGCGTTTCTTTAACCATTTAATGGCCTGAAATACAGATCATTGACTTGTTAGTGACTGACAATGACCTCAACCCTGTGACTCAACAGAGAAGTTAATATGTTGTCACATGTCCTTCCCATATGCACTCCACTGCCTCCTCTCCTCTGCCAAGTGCTTTTAAGTGCTCTGCGATGCTACCCTGTGTGGAGGGCACTATGTATAAGTACAACTTGTTGTTGTTAAGTGTTGGAGAAAAGTGACCTCTGTAATAAGTGACAGAACTCCTGACAGAAGGAAGTGGACCAGTGACATCTGTTCTGCGCTGCTGGGCGTAAGCATAGGATCACAGTACTCCAAGCAGCTTGGCGCAGTGATGGGAGGACAGTGTTCTGGGCGGATGAGATCAGATGGTCACATCTTGTGATCGCGTGAGTCAGAGGCTTGTGGGTTTATATATCCAGGCTTTAAGCTCGTGTCCCGGCTGGTCCTGGGCAACACTGGAGACGTGCACAGAGCTGCTGTCCTTTAGATGAGACATTAAACTGAGCTCCAGGCTGCCTGTTCAGGTGAATGTTGAAGATCCCCTGGCCCTATTCAAAAACAGAAGGGAATTTCTCTCTCCCAGTGTCTTGGCCAACAATCCCCCCAAATAAAATTTGGTCCTTCAATCCATGGTTGTTTGTGGGACACTGCTGTGCGCAAATTGACTTCCACGTTAGCCCACAAAGTACACAGTCACTATACTTTGCAGTATATCCTGCAAAATGCTTGGAGACGTCTCAATGACCTGATGCAAGGATTATTAGTAGTAGTTTGTGCGTGAGTTGCTATATAAAAGTAACTTATTGTTAGCAGTGGGGCCTGAGTGACAGAATGCTGTTTATGATTAAGTTTATAGCTGAGAATAACATCAACAGACAATAAATTGTATTTACACAACACAGTGCCTTTCACGTCAGGAGGATGTTCAAAAGGAGCTGGACAATGAGGGGAACGCACCCAAGCTGCGTGTTTGGATCACAGAGGGGTGAAAAGCAAGGCCAATGAAGGGTGAAAGGGAGGTGCGAAGATGACTGAAGGCATGGTCAAAAAGGAAGTTTGTTTAAAATCACATCAGCGTCTGAAACTGACATAGTAACATCAGCACCCACTGTTAGTTAGCGGTAAGTGTGCACTTTACCTGGTGTGATTGTTGCGGTGGGGTGGGCGGGTGTTGGGGGAGTTAAAAAGCTTGGGGAGAGTTTGTGAATCTGATGCTGGAGCTTCGCTGCGAGTGTTTGCACACGGCCAGACATCAGGATAAAGTATAGCCTTGTTAATCGGCAGCAATCTGTCACTCTGATGTATTTGTGTTGTAAGATTTAGGAGTGTCTCTGTCTTGATCTTGTTGGAGTTTATAAATTAGAATGTGTCTGTTCTTCAGACAACCCCTGACACAGGCTGGGAGTCACACGGTTCTTTATGGGTCTGCTTTGACTGGCGCCCTGTTAGCTGTCCAGAGTCCGAAGGTTGTGTGCAGAGATAAACACACATTATTGAAACATTAACAAATGGGCAGCGTCTGAAATGAGTACATCCGTCAAAGCCGGAGCCGGAGAGAACGTACAGGTCACTGGGGGTGGGTGGCGGCAGGAGACAGATGTCTGAAGCTCGTGCTCGCTCCAGCCTACCTCACAGCAGCTTCTCCCTCATCACGCTCAGTGTTAGGCAGCACAACCCTGAGCGCAACATCACAAGTGTCCCAACCCCCCCTCATAAAGCACTATCCACATAGTCACTCATGTAGAATCATAGAATATTACAGCACAGAAGGAGGCCATTCGGCCCATGGTGCCTGTGCCGGCTCTTTGGAAGAGCTGCCAATCAGTTCCCTGCCCTTTCCCCATATCCCTGCAAGTTTTTGCTTTTCAAGTACCTCTCCAATTCCCTTTTGAAAGTTGTTATTAATCTGTTTCCCCCATCCTTTCAGGCCGTGCATTTCAGACCAAAACAACTCTGTGTAAAAAAAATTCTCCTCTTCTCCTCCCTAGTTCTTTTGCTAGTATAGTAACTGTATTTGTAGATAATCCCAGCAGCTAAATTGCACACAGAAAGTTCCTGCAAACTGCCATAAAGTGAGTGACTTTATCCAAGGGATTGTCACCCAGGAATCGGGAGAGAGAAACTCTTTTCTCTGTTTCCAATAACGTTCTCCTGACATGAAAGCGCTATACAAGTGTAATCTGTTGTTGTTGTTGAGACCGTTCACATCCACAACAGGATCTGGGTTTAACATCTCATCCAGAGGACGGCACCTCTCACAATCTAGTGCTCCCCTAACACTGCCCTGGAGCAAAATATACGGTCACTAAACTTTACAGTATATTCTGTGAAGCGTTTTGAGACGTCTCGAAGATGTGATAATAATAATGAAGATAATCCTTGCATTTGATACAGCGCCTTATCACGTCCTCAAAGCGCTTCACAGGATATACTGTAAAGTGAATTGACTGTATATTTGTGGGCGAACGCGGCAGCCAATTGTGCACAGCAATGTCCCACAAACAGTCGTAGATTGAAAATGACCAATTTATTATTGTTTTTGGTTTTGGAGGGATTATTATTAGGCTCTGTGTGGAGTAAGGAAACTTGCCCAAGGTTTCGCCCTCTGCCTGGAATTGAACTCAGGTCTCTCACTTGCAAAGCGAGTGCTCTAACCACTGAGCTACAGGACTCCACGATTATCAGCCTAGACTGCAAATGGCCCTGAGCCTGTGAGTGTGAGGTTGGGAGAGCACAGCAACAGAGAGAAAGTATTAAATGACATTGGGGAGAAGGACATTGGTCTAAGAGGATGGCTGGTGTAAGAGAAATAAGTTGTATAGACGCTGTGAGAGAATAAAGTAACTGGAAGATGTACACATAAAACACAGATTTACTGCTTGTCAAATAAAATGCTAGTTGTTCTCCACCAGTAAACAGATTGTTGAATCCTCAGGAAAATGGCTAACAAGGGGGCAGAGCCTCCAAGTCAGAACCAAGACAACAACAACAACAACAAATTACAAAAGGCAAAATACTGCAGATGCTGGAAATCTGAAATAAAAACAGGAGTCGCTGGGGACACTCAGCAGGTCAGGCAGCATCTATAGACATCTTTGGTCATTGACCGGAAATGGTAATTCACTTTTCTCTGTCCATCGATGCGGCCTGACCTGCTGACTGTTCCCAGTGATTTCTGTGTCTATATCAGTTTTCCAGCGTCTGCAGCATTTTGCCTTTTGTGCCAACAATGAGGCAGGTTTGATTAACCGCACAGCACAGGGCACTGAGTGCGGCTTTGAGCCAAGCTAATGCTGGTCACAGCTGCCACTCTCTATCTCCTCACTGCACTAACGCAGAGTGACAAGAACAAGGGGAACAGTCATAATGGGCTGCCATGTTTTTATGGCACAATTTAGAAGTAGAACCAGAGGACACGGCTTGTGATTGAAGGGGGATAAATGCAGAACAAATCTGCGGAGACACTACTTCAGTAGCGAGCAGTAAACTTATGGACAAACTGCCTCGGGAGACAGACAGTGGAAGCAGAAAATGTTGTTTGTTTCAAGACCAAATGAGATAGATTTCTGCTAAAAAAGATCTGTTGATACAATATATAGTTTGAGACACGACATGTCAAGTGACTGCCAGGATCTGGTGGAAGGTGAACTGGATGGACCTTGGGTACTTCTTTCGCCAGCAAATTCGTATGTTCTTGTATAATTTAAGACCAACTAATAAAAGCTTGGGTTTTGTGTGAATCTGCGGCTGAGGACGAGGGGTCTGTGCTGGAACATTCCAGCTCATTGTTCGTCCTTCAGCCAAAGGTTTGGGGTCAGTGTGTCGGGGTCACTCGCTGCCAGAGCCGAGGCCACAGGTCACACCTCCCACCCCCTTGGACATGGTAACTTATCACACTGTCGAGACGTCTCAAAACGCTTCACAGGACAATGTGTATTTTGTGGGCAAACGCAATTTGCACACAGCAAAGACCCACAAACACTTTGAAGTCAGTGACCCATTTTTTATTCAGGGCTTTGTCAGCCAGGACACCAGGAGAAAATAATAATATTAATAATAATCCTTGCATTTGATATAGCACTTTTGATGTCTTCTAGACATCTCAAACTCTTCACAGAATATGCTGTAAAGTGGATTGACTGTGTATTTGTGGGCGTAATGCCAATTCCATACAGCAGTGTCCCACAAACAGTTGTGGATTAAAGTGACCAAATCATTATTGTTTTTTTTCTTGAGAGATTATCATCAGGGGTGTGGAGTAAGGAAAGCAAATGCCTCCTTTTTTTGAACAGTGCCATGGTATCTTCTAACATGCACTTGAACAAGCAGACATCTTGAATAGAGATGGTGTAACATCTCATTAGAATCATAGCATCTCACCCAACCCTGCCTCCAGCCTCAACCCTCAGCCAAGCTCCAAACCCCAGCCCAGTCCCCCCAATACTGCCCCCAGCCCAAACTGCCCCCAGCTTAGACTGCCCCCAGCTTAGACTGCCCCCAGCTTAGACTGCCCCCAGCTTAGACTGCCCCCAGCCTAGACGATCCCCAGCAACAGTCCCCAGGCCAGACTGCCTGAGTTCAAAGTACCGACATGAGGCTTGAACCCACACCTACTGACTCAGAGATGAGAAAGTCACAGACTGACACCCAGCAACTGAGCCAGGCTGACACCCAGGGACTGAGCCAGGCTGACACCCAGGGACTGAGCCAGGCTGACACCCAGGGACTGAGCCAGGCTGACACGCAGGGACTGAGCCAGGCTGACACCCAGGGACTGAGCCAGGCTGACACCCAGGGACTGAGCCAGGCTGACAAACAGCGACTGAGCCAGACTGACACCCAGCAACTAAGCCAGGCTGACACATAGTGACTGAGCCAGGCTGACACCCAGCAACGGAGCCAGGCTGACACCCAGGGACTGAGCCAGGCTGACACGTAGCGACTGAGCCAGGCTGACACCCAGAGACTGAGCCAGGCTGACATGCAGCGACTGAGCCAGGCTGACACCCAGCGACTGAGCCAGGCTGACACCCAGCAACGGAGCCAGGCTGACACCCAGGGACTGAGCCAGGCTGACACATAGTGACTGAGCCAGGCTGACACCCAGCAACGGAGCCAGGCTGACACCCAGGGACTGAGCCAGGCTGACACGTAGCGACTGAGCCAGGCTGACACCCAGAGACTGAGCCAGGCTGACATGCAGCGACTGAGCCAGGCTGACACACAGCGACTGAGCCAGGCTGACACGCAGCGACTGAGCCAGGCTGACACCCAGCGACTGAGCCAGGCTGACACCCAGCAACGGAGCCAGGCTGACACCCAGGGACTGAGCCAGGCTGACACCCAGAGACTGAGCCAGGCTGACACGCAGGGACTGAGCCAGGCTGACACATAGTGACTGAGCCAGGCTGACACCCAGAGACTGAGCCAGGCTGACACGCAGCGACTGAGCCAGGCTGACACCCAGAGACTGAGCCAGGCTGACACCCAGAATACAAACTGTGTGTATTGTATTTAATTGGTAATGGGAGACATCAGTTTCAAATGCCAATTTCCAACATAGAATCAGTGTTGGTCTGTCTGTGAGTCACATCGCTGTTAAATAAACTGCCTCGTATTTCATTTGTTGCTAAGATGAAGTGCCCAAAGACTGAGATGTGAATACATTTGATGAGAGACCAAAATGCTAACGTTGCTGAGCCCGGCTCAGTGCCAGCAACACAAGCTCGGTTTCACTTACAGCCTGGGCTGCTCGGCGGGAGCTATAACACTCAACCTGGAGGCAGTGCAGGTCAGTCAGATATTGCAAACCTAATCACATTATCCTCTTATATTTCTTATTATGATTCGCCCACAAAATATACAGTCACTTCACTTTACAGTATATCCTGTGAAGCGATTTGAGACGTCTCAAAGATGTGATGAGACGCTGTATCAAATGCCAGGATTATTATTATTATTATTGTCACGACACAGGAACAAAAGTGGGATTGCCGTCAGGTTGGGGTGACAAAGGCTGATTTGATCATTCCAGAACCCCAGCCCACCATCTTCCCAGTGGGTCCACGTTTCTTAAACACGTCCCAGTGTCCTGACCACGAACACCCTTCCTGGTAACTGCTGCTGATTAGCATCTGGGCAAAGAAATGTTCCTTTTTGTCTGTCTGTCTGTCTTTCCTCACGTTGTATCTCATTCCGAGTCGGTGCTGTTGAAATTATTTGTATCACTGAATGTTTCAATTAGAACGTCAGAGCTGTTTCTCTCGGTGTTTTGAAGTTATTACACAGCAGACTGACTCCTGCACAAAGCACAGGAACCTCAGTATAACGCGACTCAGCAGAGGCCGGGGTGGGTGGGTTGGGTGTGTAGAGGCCGGGGTGGGTGTGTAGAGACTGGGGTGGGTGGGTGTGTAGAGGCCGGGGTGGGTGGGTGTGTAAAGGCTGGGGTGGGTGTGTAAAGGCTGGGGTGGGTGTGTAAAGGCTGGGGTGGGTGTGTAAAGGCTGGGGTGGGTGTGTAAAGGCTGGGGTGGGTGTGTAAAGGCTGGGGTGAGTGTGTAAAGGCTGGGGTGGGTGTGTAAAGGCCTGGGGTGGGTGGGTGTGTGCAATGATTGTGGATTTATTTTGAACCAAACAATGGATAAAAAACAAGCTCCATTCAAATAGGTGATGGATTAATCTCTGAGTTGGCAATCGGTGAGGTCGAGTTTAGAGAAGATAAACACTCCAGTCCAGGGAAGTAGTAACTGCCTTTTATTATAAAAGTTAAAAAGAGTGTACAGCGTAGAAACGGCCAATTGACCCAATCTGTCTGTGTCGGTGTTTATAATCCACACAAGCCCACCCCTGTTATTCACTCTCTCTCACACACTTCTGTTCCCCAGCCCAAGGTGAAAGTCAAGCTTCCTCTTGAAGGCATCCTAGATCCCGCATGTTAAGAGGAGGCGCTTTGCTGGGAATCATTTCAATATTAATAGTTTGTATAAAAATTGCAGTTATTTTCAATTTAAAACCCACTTTGGAGAATTATAAACAGACGTCACTGGAAACACTCAGCAGGTCAGGCAGCATCTATGTAGAGAGTTAACGTTTCAGGTCGATGACCTTTGATTAAAACATTGACTTATTTTCCTCTTGACCTGCTGAGTGTTCCCAGTGACATCTGTTGTTATTCCAGATCTTCAGCATCTGCAGTATTTTGCCTCCAGTTTGGAGAAGATTCATTCTTTATCTGTGTGAAGATTGTACCAATGGTCACTCAGCAACAGCTTGTGGTACGGTAACGTCTCAGCCTCACTGCCACAGACTTCACTAAATCGCTGAAATGTTTCTCCAAAAGTAACCTCTAGTCAGACTCAAGACTCTATTTAACCTTATATGAAAAGAATTGCAGTTAATCAAATAAGAACTCTGCTGTGATAGCACTGTGTTGTGGGTGGCCCAAGGGAACCAAACAATGGCTAAAAACAAGCTCCTTTGAAATAGGGGAAAGAGTGGGGGGAGTGGGACTAATTGGGCAGCTCTTCCAAAGAGACGGCATAGGCAAGACGGGCTGAATAGCCTCCTTTTGTGCTGTAATATTCTGTGATTCTAGGTGAAGGATTAATCTGTGAATGTTAGGTTGAGTGTAGAGAAGGTGAGGCAGACCCTGGCCTGAGTCACTGGTCTCCACACCACACACCAACAGCACCTCACACTGGCCTGGGGCACCTGGATCAGAAGTCAGAGGGTCCCACGGATCACGCCGCTGAGACATCCCATGGCGCTGTGTCCCGGGCCTCAGCGCAGGAGACAAATGGTTTTGTTCTTCCTGCACCCAAGACCATTATCCCGCGAGCTCCCCCCCACCCCACTCCCAGCCAGAGCAGCACAGGGAACAATCAGTTATCATATATTGTGTGAAGTGCTTTGAGGCGTCTTGAAGACATGATAAGGCGCTATATCAAATGCAAGGCTTATTATTATTATTATCCCAGCCCCGAAGCCTCTCTGCGACCTCATACTGTAGTATTGCAGTGAGGAGCCAGGCCAGGCCAGGCCAGAGCCATCGCTGCCAAACACACAGATCTTTACCCTCATAGTGCAAGGACCAAGTGAGCGTCAAACAGGTCACTAGCATTGGGGAAAGGCTTGAGGTTATTATTATTATTAGGTGCCCGACAGATTTGCGCCAGGAGAGGACCGGTTGTTGGCATGACAATCAGCTTGAAATCAATTCTTCCATCATTGGTCTCCTCCGATACAATTGGGGAAATGTCCAGGACATTAAAACTGTGTCTGCAACCAGAGAGGGCGGGGGAGGACAATAACAAAGGCAAAGAAGGTGTTTATAGCGGGCTGAGGCCCACACACGCAGCCTCTAATAAAATACCAGTTCCAGGTTTATTTAATATAAATTATTTACAACAGGAGCCAGCCATGCGTCGCTGCTGCCCGGGGGCCACTGGGGTGTCAAGACCCCGAGGCTCAGCGCGAGGATAAACAGCTCCTCAGTCCCTCGTCACGAGTTGCCATCCTCGGGTCAAGGCTCCTGTGTCTGGGCCGGGCCGGGTGACACGAGGTGCTGACGAGCCCTGGACTGGGCAGGACTGTGTGGACAGGATGCAGGAGTCCCTGAGGCAGGCTGGGGTCTATAGGATCTGCTCGGTGCTGGAGGCAGAAATATCCAGTAGCCGCCAGGCCACGTGTGGGTTCAGCTCGTCCTGGTCCCGGCAAAGTGCCCACACATACAACATCTTCAGCACTTTGTCCTGCAGGAGAGACACAGAGAGGCGAGGCTGAGACTCAAAGCACAGGGAAGAGAAATGTTCTGGCGATTCCCATTAAAGAGAATTCACTGCCTCAGGCAGTGGTCAATAACAACTTTCAAAAGAGAATTAGATAAGTACTTGAAGAGGAATAATTTGCAAGGATGTTGGGAAAAAGCGGGGGAGTACGACTGATTGGGCAGCTCTTCCAAAGAGCTGGCACAGGCACGATGGGTCAAATGGCCTCCTTCTATGCTGTAATATTCTGTGAATTGAAAGCTCCTCCAGGCTGCGCTGATGTCTCAGAGAAATGGGAATGGCCCCTCACATCTGATTATATTAATCATCACATCAATACAGAGCGTTCACTGTTCAGGCTAATTCAATAGAAACAGCGCAGCACAGAGACCTGCAGCAGACAGTGAGTGCCAGCAACATCAATCACAGCAGCTAAAGACCATCTTCCAATTACATACTCTGCTTCGGAAGATGCTTCAAAACTAACTGTCATTATGAAAAGCACCTATAAATTTGAATGAGTCGGTTAAGGAAGCTCTCGGCTCCCCAGACTCACATTAATTACCAGGCTGTAACACTGCTGCTTTAAGGATTCTGCATTAGATTTAACATTTTTAATTACATTTAAAAATTCAACAAGAATTTATTTTTCTCTTGTGATCACTTTGTGCGCTTTACACAATGTGCCAGCCGGTTCAAGCTTTTCAGGCCAGAGAATGAGCAAGAGATCACATCCACTGGACTCGCATTAACTAATGCATCTCAACAGCCCCAGAACTCAGGGAGACGGACCTGGACTGGAACCTTCTCCTACACACTGGTTCTATAACGTCCGCGAGATACACTGCTCATGGGCACAGATAGATCCAGATAGACCTGGTCTGTCCTTGCTCTGTGTGTATGTATGTTGCATGGGTGTGTGTATGTGTGTGTGGTGTGTGTGTGTGTGTGCCCTGGAAGGGGGATTGCGTACCGGGTCTCCCTCCACCACTTCGCCCTTGTGGTTGTTGATCACCAGCACGAGGTGAGCCTGGAAGGTGATGATTAGCACCGGTCCCTGCTCCATCATCTTCCCCATCGCCAGCTGCACAGGGAGAACAGAGAGTCATCATCAGACTTTATCCTGACTGAAAATCAGAGTCTTCTTGCCTATGAACCGAGTGATACGAGGCAGGTCTGACAGCACTTGCGCCTCCGAGTGCAGAAGGTTGTCGGTTCAGGCTGTTCAATACTGTCGGCTCAATACTGTGTACAGCCCCAAAGTTCAGGCTAATGCACCAATACAGCTGGGGGAATCACTGCATTATTGGAGGTGCCGTCACTCGGATGAGACATTAAACTGAGGTCCTGTCTGCCTGTTCGGATGGACATTAAAGATCCCGTGGCCCTATTTAGAAAGAGAAGTGAGTTTCTCCCTCCTGGTGTCCTGGCCAACAATCACCAGAGAAAATTGATCACACACTCCATGGCTTATGAGGCATTCTGGTTTGTGGGACATTGCTGTCCTGTGTGCAAATTGGCTGCTGCATTCACCCACACATACACAGTCACTACGCTTTACAGTGAAATCCTGTGAAGCGTTTTGAGATGTTTCAATGAAGTGACAAGGTGCTGTATCAAACAGGAGGATATTGCCAGCTTTGGCGTCTAGAGAGCAGTGTTCTGTCAAGCTCAGGGGTTGGACTGTATATTTCAGTGTGAATCAAACCGTGGCTTTAGTGACAGTGTGTCAGTGACAGTGTGTTTGTTACAAGGTGGTGAGAGGGGCTCATGGACACATTGTCCCCCAAGAAAGGCTTCCCGTAGGCTCAGGTGTCACACTTCCCAACGAGGGGAAAGATTCCCTGAGCGCTGGAGCCAGGCTGCAGGAACAACACCGACAAACTGTTGGCCGTTACTACTCGCTCTCCTGTGTGAGGGAAGCCTTGATATAGTGGACCCCAAGGCCAGGGAGCACGTGGGCCTCTCACCCTCTGACACCCAGCTTCAGCACAGTCAGAAGCATAAGCACGCCTGGTGCCAGGCCCGGGTTGTGGGCACACAAATGTAACCTGGAACCCTGTTGACCGTAGCTTTCAGAGGAGACATTAAACCAAGTTCCTGCCCAGTGCCTGTTCTGGGGGGCGTTAAACACGATTGGAAAAGAGAAGCGAGTTTCTCCTGCAGTCCTGCCTGGCCAACAATCTTCCAGTTTAACTGCTCATTCTCTCCTCGTGGCTATTGGTGGGACACGGAGGCCACCACTGCCTGCCACAATGCTCTATTAAGCAGTCACTGTACTTCTAGTTCATCCCCTTATAAAAGGCTGTGAGACATTTTGACGCCATAAATGCAGGGTGACTAAAAATGTCTAATACAACATCATTACAATGTCGAATAATCTTAAAGAAATGTTGATTTTTTTTGGTAATGGGGTAGTTTTCAGGACTGTTTGGTCACCCTGTACAAGTGCTTTCTTTCTTCCTCCATCACTGACAGAGTTATTACCAAAGATGCCAAATCTCAAAAGGCCCAGGAACAGGGGTGGGAGGGGTAGGTTGCAGGGGAAGGGGCAGGTCACTGGGGGAAGGGGCAGGTCACTGGGGGAAGGGGCAGGTCACTGGGGGAAGGGGCAGGTCACTGGGGGAAGGGGCAGGTCACTGGGGGAAGGGGCAGGTCACTGGGGGAAGGGGCAGGTCACTGGAGGAAGGGGCAGGTCACTGGGGGAAGGGGCAGGACACTGGGGGAAGGGGCAGGTCACTGGCGGAAGGGCAGGTCACTGGGGGAAGGGCAGGTCACTGGGGAAGGGGAGGTCACTGGGGGAAGGGCAGGTCACTGGGGGAAGGGGAGGTCAATGGGGGAGGGGGAGGTTATTGGGGGGCAGGTCACTGGGGGAAGGGCAGGTCACTGGGGGAAGGGGAGGTCACTGGGGGAAGGGCAGGTCACTGGGGGAAGGGGAGGTCAATGGGGGAGGGGAGGTTATTGGGGGGGCAGGTCACTGGGGAAGGGCAGGTCACTGGGGGAAGGGCAGATCACTGGGGGAAGGGCAGATCACTGGGGGAAGGGGAGGTCACTGGGGGAGGGGGAGGTTATTGGGGGGGCAGGTCACTGGGGGAAGGGGAGGTCAATGGGGGAGGGGGAGGTTATTGGGGGGGCAGGTCACTGGGGGAAGGGGAGGTCAATGGGGGAGGGGGAGGTTATTGGGGGGGCAGGTCACTGGGGGAAGGGGAGGTCAATGGGGGAGGGGGAGGTTATTGGGGGGGCAGGTCACTGTGGGGGGAGGTTACTGCTGGTGTTGGGAATAATCAACATTCACAACCAGTGATCAGGATCTTGGGTTTCTGTGTATTTGACTGACTGACATCTGCTCCCAGCAATTGCCTCCCACCCTCCCACATCCCCGGTTGCCTGGCATTTCACACACACACACACACACACCATATATTTTTTCATAGATTCATAGAATGTTACGGCACAGAAGGAGGCCATTCGGCCCATCGAGTCTGTGCAGCTCTTTGACAGAGCGTCACTTCCACTAACCCAATCACCAGCTTTCTCCCCATAACCCCACAAACCCATCTTCCCCAGATACCTATCCAGTTCCCTCTTAAAAGCTGTTATCGAATCGGACTTCACTGCCCTTTCGGGCGGATCATTCCAAATTCCAACAACTCGCTGAGTGAAAACATTTCTTCTAACCTCCTCTCTGCTTCTTTTGGTAGATATCTTAAGACTGTGACCACGAGTCACAGACACACCTACCAGCAGAAACAGCTTTTCCCTATCTCACCTGTCGAAACCTTTCATGATCTTGAAGACCTCTATCAGGTCCCCGTGTAACCTTCTCTGCTCTAATGGGAAAAGTCCTAACTTCTCCAACTCCACGACCACCGATGTCCTGACAGCTGTCTGTCCGACATCGAGTCCTGGACGAGAGACAACTTTCTTCAGCTCAATGTATGCAAAACTGAGGCCCTCCTGATTGGCTCACGTCAGTGCCTCCGCACCTCAGGCACTGACACCATTAGCATCCAAGGCTGCACTCTCCACCTCTCAAAGCCATCAGGAGCCTCGGGGTTCTGTTCGACCCTGAGCTGTCCTTTCTCCCTCATATCCGCACCACAACCGGCACCGCCTTCCATCACCTCCGGAACATCGCCAGACTACGGCACTACCTCACCCCTCACGCGGCTGAAACTCTGGTCCACTCCTTTATCACCTCAAGGCTGGACTATGGGAACTCTCTCCTCGCCGGCCTTCCCGCCACCTCCCTCCACACTGCAGGTCATTCAGAACTCTGCAGCTCGTGTACTGTCCCGCACCAGACACCGCGCCCACATCACTCCCACCCTCACCCTCACCCTCGCCCTCGCCCTCGCTCGCCTCCACTGGCTCCCCATCCCCCAGAGGATCGAATTCAAGATCCTCATCCTCACCTACAAGGCCATTCACGGCCTCGCTCCCTCCTACCTCTCCGACCTACTGTCCACGTACTTACCCTCCCGTACCCTCCGTTCCTCTGGCTCCGGTCTGCTCCACATCCCCCGCCCCAACCGCCCTACCATCGGTGGCCGGGCCTTCAGCCTCTCAGCCCCGAGGCTCTGGAACTCTATCCCCCAGTGCCTTCGCCGCTTCCTCCCTTTCCTCCTTCAAGGCCGGTCTCAAGACCTGTCTCTTTGACTGTGCCTTCAGCTCCACTCTCGACTCTCTACCCCCTCCTCGCTCCCTCCCTCCCTTCCCTCACCCTGATCATTTCCCCCCTGCTCGGGTCCTGACCCAACTGTCCAGCACCTTGGGACGTCCTCCCGACGTGAAAGGCGCTCTATAAATGAAATCTTGTTGTTGTTGTTGTTGTTGTCCTCATAGCTAAGGTTCCCCATTCCTGGTATCATTCTCGTGAATCTCCTCTGTACCCTTTCCAGAGCCTTAATGTCGTTCCTGAAGTAAGGTGCCCAGAACTGGACGCAGTACTCCAGCTGAGGCCTAACCAGTGTTTTGTATAGATTAACTATAACTTCCCTGTTCTTATACTCTATGCCCCTACTAATAAAGCTCAGTACACCAAATGCCCTTTTTACTGCCCTATCTACCTGCCCCACTACCTTTAATGATTTGCTTACTTGAACACCCAGATCTTTCTGTACGTTCACCCCCACTTAAGATTGAGCTCCAAGCCTATGTTGTCTCCTATCATTTTTCCTCCCTAAGTGTATCACCTCACACTTATCCACATTGAAATCCATCTGCCACATGTCAGCCCATTCCACCATTCTGTGTATGTTTGCTTGCACTCCGTCACAATCTTCTTCACTGTTTACTACCCGACCTAACTTTGTATCATCTGCAAACTTGGAAATAGTGCTCTCTCTGCCCAAGTCCAGATCATTAATATATATTAGAAAGAGCAGTGGTCCCAATACCGATCCCTGGGGGACACCGCTGCACACCTCCTTCCATTGCGAGGAACACCCATTAACCACCACCCTCTGCATTCTGTCACTCAGTCAGTTCTTAATCCAAACTGCCACTGGCCCCTTAATACCGTGGGCCTCTAATTTTTTTAATAATCTCTTATGCGGTACTGTGTCAAAAGCCTTTTTGAAATCCATGTAAATAATGTCCACCGCATTTCCCTCATCAACCCTCGTAGTCACCTCTTCAAAAATTCTATTAGATTTGTTAGGCAAGATTTGCCTTTAACAAATCCATGTTGGCTGTCTCTAATTACCTCGTGTTCCTCTAAGTAGAGATTTATATATACACATACACTCCTTACACACACACACCTCACATATACACACAGCCCTTACACACACACACACCCCTTACACACTTGCACGTTACAAAGACACAAGCCCCTTTTATGCACACACACCCACACGCGGGAAGTTACCTGACCTCCTTCATGACCCCTAATGTTAATGACAATGTAAAATGGGAAGCAATGCCAATCTCCTGTAGTGGAGCTAGTGAAGCCTCCTGATCTGCCTGATCTGAGCTGTGCCGGCCTTGCTGCTCAGAGAGAGGAAACTTTAACAAGTGTAATTTAGTAGCAACCTCTGCCCTTCTAATTGGATTATCTAATCACATAAAGTTCCAGGAGCTGATGAGGGGTAAACCACTGTCCTTCCCTCACAAGGAAAAGAACATGACTCACTCGGAGAGAAAGCCCTTGAGACGTCCCAGGATCAGTGTCCACACGTTCAGCCCCAGCAGTATGCAACACACTGCAACAACAAGCCGCTAACGGGGAGGGTGGCAGGGAGCAGAGGACTAGGAAAGGGGGGAAGGGGGGGGGGATGGGTGGATGGATCCTGATGGCCAAACACAAAATCAGCCAATATGGAGACACTGGATCCCAACTAAGGACTTTTACACCAGAATTTAGCAGCAGGAGGCGGCCAGTTTAGTAATTATTTACTCCAGTTCCCGGGAGGAGGGGCAGATACACAGATTTGAATACTCCCTAAAATTGATATGTTGGCAGAGAGGTCGGCAACAGCTCAAACTTCACATCTCAACTGGTGGAACCATTGGAAGGGATGTGAATCCAAGCTGCGGACAGGAAGATAGTGGCAATGTTGATGACAGACCAGCCAGCCTAGGGCTTGGAGTTGCAGACTGGTCACTGGGGGCAGGGAATCACCCCCTCAGCTCCTGTTAACCCTGTAGCCAAAGCCCTAATGGGTAGGATGGTCCTAGCTGGACGAGCAGTGGGAAAGCTTGCCATGCAGTGCTCTCAACAGCAAGCTGTGTGGGTTTAGCTGGTTAGACTCCAGCAGTTACCCCAACACACACTCTGGGGTTCCCAAGCTTTGGCTCTTGCCAACCTGTGCCTGATACTCTTCAAAACTAGGTAAGCAGGAAGCGTCCTTCTGGAGGAGGGAGAGAGAGCGACAGAGGGAGAGAGACAGAGGGAGAGAGAGAGCGTTCTGTTCCAGAACTTGCTGAAGGTTGTCATCTGGAGGTCGCAATGTGCCCAACTCCAAGTCCGAAATCTCACAAAGAAAATCATCAAGGGCATCAGAGCAGCAATAACTCAACCCCCACCACCCCCGGGAGCCTTGACACTACAGTGACTGATGTGTGGAAGCAAAGATCACAGCCACGACTCTCCCAGTTAAACAGGGGAAGGTAAAGCAGACTGCCTTGGTGGGTCTGTGCTGGAAGCTGCTGGTGCGGGAACCGAGCCAGTGACTTACGTCAATGTTGTCAATGTCGAGAATCTTGGAGCGGAGCTGCAGGTTCAGGGCTCTGGCATGCTGGATGGGCTGAGCTAACTGGCTGTACGTCTGTCACAGAGAAACACACATGCGCGGTCAGTGTCACCAACAAAAAAACAATAACAATAAAAAAAAGGCAAAATACTGCAGACGGTGGCAATTTGAAATAAAAGCAGAAGTTGCTGGGAACGCTCAACAGGTCAGTCAGCATCTATGGAGAGAGGAAAATGACCTTTTGGTCACTGACCTGAAACGTTGACTCACTTTCCTCTCTCCACAGATGCTGCCTGACCTGCTGAGTGTTCCCAGCAACTTTATTTCAGGCTTTCAACCAAAGGATCCAATATGGAATGTATCCAATATGCAGTGACCCACTCACAAACCATTTAACATTCCATAAACACTGGCAGTTTTGGTTAAGGTATACACAGACATGTGTGAAGAGCTTGGTTAGCTCATCAACTATAGGAGATCTCCCCAAAAATATGCCCATGACACTCCCCCTTGCAAGACTTTTCCGGTGAGGTATAAATGAAGTACATAACGTCAATCGGTTATTGCGTTATTGGTGGACAGACATGTGCGATGTCTGAGCTGTGCTGAAATCTCTCTCTCACTCTCTCTCTTGGCTCCTGGTGCTTAGTCACTCTGAGCAGATCTCAGGCTTCACTTTAACCCTCTCCCCTCCCTCCCTCCCTCCTGACACACGTTGATATAACCTTTCCGCTCTCACCCCTCACTACCCAAAAAAACCTCTGTCTCATCGCCTCACTCTTACCCTCGAGAGATTATGGGACTCAGGGTATTTTTTGTGGTGGGGAGGGGGTGTGTGTGGGGAGGAGAGATTTAACTTTAAAAATGTAGCATTGAATTTTTTTTCACCTCTCTTCTCTCCTTCCCTCTCTATCCCTCTCCCGATGTACCTCTCTAGTAGGGTGTGTGATTTCCTCTGTAGCTAATTTGTTGCAGAATACCGTGCATACCTCATATTTTGGGTGTTAATTAAAGCATTTTTTTAATATAGCTCATCAACGATAGGAGATCGCCGAAAAACTATATGCCCATGACACTCCCCATTGCAAGACCTTTTCAATGAGGTATAAATCATGTCTCTACATCAATCTATGTTACTGACACACAGACAGACATTTTGTCTTTATTAAGTATAGATTAATAATAATGTGGTCACTCAATCCACGACTGATTGTGGGACGCTGCTGTATGCAATTGACTACCATATTTTGCCTACAAAATACACAGTCAATTCACTTTACAGTATACTGTGTGAAGCTCTTTGAGATGACCAGAAGACGTGATAAGGCGCTGTAGCAAATGCAAGGATTATTATTGTATTATGAACACTGCTCGTTCTTCTAGCATCAAATTTGTTTTGCTAGTGGCTGAACATTTAAATGTTGTTTAAGTCTCAAATATCTTCTCCACTTTCACTGCCTCTGCTTCAATCCAGCTTCTCCTGACAGATCTGCACTGTCTGCTCAACTTCCCAGTCCTGACAACTGAGCCCGAGCCTACCCTCACCCACCCCCATACACTCCCACACCCCCCACACACCTCACAATCATACACCACACCATACACTCTCACTCCCCCATACACTCACACACCTCACACCCTCCTCACCACCACTCACGCCTCACCCACTCCCCCTCTCACACCCCCTCTCAGACTCCCTGACACCCCCTCAGACTCCCTCTCACTCCCTCTGACACCCTCTCTCACACCTCACAACCCCTCCCAGCAAGGAGAGCAAACAGGAGGGGCAGCCTGGAGATACTGAGGGCTACTCATACTGACCGAGGATCAGCAGTCAGCACAGAGCGAGGCTGTGATCAGTAACAACAACAACACAATGACACGTGTAAAGCGCCTTTCACGTCGGGAGGACGTCCCAAGTCGCTGGACAGACAGAGTTATGGACCCGAGCTGGGGGTCAGGGTGGGGGGGGGGGAAGCGGGGACATCGAAAGCACGGGCGCAGAGGAGGGTCTTGAGGTGGGGTCCGGAGGGGGCGAGGGAGGGGGCGAGACGGAGGGACAAGGGGTGGAGTTCCAGAGGGTGGGGGCAGAGTGACAGAAGGCCCGCCCCCCAATAGTGGGGCGAGTAAGGCGGGGGACGTGAAGCAGGTCAGAGCTCGCTGAGTGGAGGGAGCGAGCAGGTTGGTGGGGGGTTAGGAAGTCACAGAGGTTCTGAGCCTAGTGCGGGAGATGACATGGTCTGCAGAGTTCTGGATGATCTGCAGCTTGTGCAGTTGCACACAGAGCGGGACTGAGATTAGTAACACACAGAGTGGATATTGATTCTGGGATCTTCCAGATCTGCTGGGCTCAGTATCACACTTCGCAGCCCGTCAGTGTTAAAGCAGGTGGGGAGGGAGCGGGTGACGGTTGATACTCACTGCCTCGTAGCACCAGTCCTTCAGGATGTCCAGGTCGCCTCTCATCATCGCCTGCAAATGAACGGATGGTTTCTGTCAGAGTTTGTCAGGAGCCATGTCAGACACACAGCTGCACAAGGTGCAGCCTGATCACCTCCCAGCCGCTGACTGTTCCACGCGACTGATCCCCTTCGTGTTACTGTAACTCTGGTTCCCGCCGGCTCTAAGCTTTACCATTTTGCAATTGACACAAAGTGTAATTCAGGGAGTGACCTGCTCTCCCCCCCACCCCCCACCGCCCGCGCAGAGAGGCTTCCGGAATCTCATCCATGTGGTCACCTGCTCTAAATATCACAGCCCATTGCAACAAACTTCCAAGTTGACTCTTGGCTGCGAGCAGCGTAAATTACAAACAACAAACTATATTTGTGGAGTCGGGAGTTCATCCACACGGCCCATTTGGGGTTTGTCTCTCCCCACGTACCCCCTCACCTCACCCCCCCCCACCACCCCACATGTACCTCTAGGACGTTAGGGATGATGACCCTCTCGCACTGCTTCAGGAACGTGTCTTTATCAAAGGTGGGATCGACCTTCAGGATTTCCGTCAGCACCTCCGACATTTCCGTCTTGGAAAACAGCCCCCCTGCACTCAGCACAAACACACATCATTTCATCTAATTCCAAATAGAGTCAGCATACACTGCCTGACCAGGACTCGATATTAGCTGATATTCCACCCCCCCACCCCCCACACACAGCTGATCCTCTGGCCCTGATGCCCCCGGCACACACACTGATACAGCACAAACTGACCTCCACACTCCGCACCTCGATGGAGAACAACATCCTGTGTGTGAACTCTTGTGGGTATTCAGCCTCAGAACAAGTCAGCATCTTACGGGGGGGGGGGGGGGGAGGGGGATGTGTTCAGGAATCACTTTTATAAGAAATATCTGTCACAACCTCCCCCAGAGAGAGGAACCCATCAAACTGCACCGTCTCCAAAATGTGCTCTCGTCCCCGCCTCAAACCAGTCAGTAATCTAGCCTTGGCTTGTCCAGCTCCCACTGCTGTGAGCCCAGCCCCAACCCTCAGTCCCAGGCTCAAACCCCAGCCCCAAACTTTTACTTTACTGTATTGATTGGTGTCTTATAGCAGGAATGTGTTTACCTAATATATCAGTGACTTTGTCGGTCAGGACTCTGGACGCTCTGATAAAGGTGTTGTCACTCTCGTCGTATCTCATCTTCATCTCAAAGAACCCTGAGAGAGAGAGAGGGTTAGACACACCGCGTGTGGTCACTGCCAGCAACCGGCTCAATTTCAAATACCATAAATCTGCAGTTATACGTGAGCACCTTCACACAAGATAGTGCTTCAGAAAGTTGCAGTGGTGGTGTTGGGCACTGAGTAAGGGATATGGGGTGGAGTGGTTGGAGACATAGGTTATAAGGTGGAATTTAAAGACAGGTGGAGAGGCAAGCAAGCGAGGCGGAGGGATTGAGGCAAGATTGTGGCTGGAGGTATGATCACCAATGGTGGCACAGATGGGTCAGGGATATGATGCAGATCTGTGTTAGCTGAGCAAAGATGGTTGGCAGAGGAATGGGGTATGGGCAGGTCAGAGAGGGAGGAAAGTGTGAAGGGATTTGTAGGTGAGGATCAGAGACAGGGAGGCAGTGAAGCCTAGCGAGGGCTGGTGTGGGACATGCAGAGTTGGGAACGGTGAGGTTGCACACAGGTTTGGTGAGTTTGAGGGCACGGCTGGGGAGGTTGAGATGGTCGCAGCTGGAGGTGAGAAGACGCTGACTGGAGCCAAGGCTTCCGTCTTGTCCATATTTATATATATATATATAACTGGAAAGGGTGATGGAAACAGATTCAATAGCAACTTTCAAAAGGGAATTGGATCAGGATTTGAAGAGGAAAAATTTTCAAGAATATAAAGAAAGAGCGGGGGAGAGAACTGACTGGGAAGCTCTTCCAAAGAGCCGACACAAGACACGATGGGCCTTCTGTGCTGTAACATTCTATGGTTCTATTTAATTCCAGGAAGTTGATGCTCATCCAGGCTGATGTGGACGACCAAGCGGACAGAACATCAATGGGCCTGGGCTTGCAACTAGAGGAAGAGGTCGAGGAAAGGATTCTTACGGTTAAAAACCACATTGTTCTCCTTGAATTCCTTCCATTGCTGGTACCACTTGGAGTCTTTGTGCAGCACCATCCCCATGGCCTCCCTGTAAGACAACAAGTGCAGTTCATCACTGGATGTAAAGTTACTGGATTTAAAACAACTCTAACAACATAATAATAAGATCTCATTTCCCAGTTATTTCTTGACAGACTGTCTTGATAAAGGCCTAACATAATGTTATCAAGCTTTCTTATTAAGAAATCCCGTACGATATGGGAGAGGGCCCCCGACTCTGGGGCCTTTGTTCTTCGTTTCACACATTTCCTACAAAAAGCTTCCAATTATATAGCATGTAACATCAAAATGTCTCAAATTGCTTCACAGGCAATCATTGTCAACTTGTGCTGTACACACCCACATGTACACACAGTATGTACGTATGTGTACCTGCTGCCTGGGTTTGATACACTGGTAGATTCTCATGTACATTTCTGTATGTTATTAGCTAAAAGGCAAAATGCTGGAAATCTGAAATAAAAACAGAAGTGGCTGCCAACACTCAGCAGGTCAGGCAGGAGAAAGTGAATTAACATTTCAGATTGATAACCTTTGGTGGGGACATGAAGCAGCCAGTGTTTGCTGAGTGGCAGGAGGGGCCGGGGTCAGGGGGTTACGGGAGGTCACAGAGGGAGGGTATGGTTAGGCTGCGGAGAGCTGCATTTGGTCCAATGTTAATCTCAGAAATCAGCAAAGTAAATATATGATATCAGACATACGACATCAACAAGTGGGTCAGCATGTGTGTGTGTGTGTGTGTGTATATCAGCGTGTGTGCATTAGTATGTGTATCTGTGTGTGTATTAGTGTGTATGTTTCAGTGTGTGTATCTGTGTGTGTATCAGTGTGTGTATCAGTGTGTCTGTGTGTATATATCTGTGTGTGTATCAGTGTGTGTGTGTATGTATCTATGTATCAGTGTGTGTGTATCAGTGTTTGTGTGTACGTATCAGTGTGTGTGTATCAGTGTGCGTGTGTATCAGTGTGTGTGTGTGTGTGTATATCTGTGTGTGTGTGCGTGTGTCAGGAGGACGTCCCAACTCCTTGGGACGTCCTCTTGACGTGAAAGGTGTTATACAAATGTAATTTGTTGTTGTTGTTGTGTGTTTGTCAGTGTGTATGTGTATCTGTGTGTGTGTCAGTGTGTGTGCCTCCATGTGTACGTGTGTGAGAGAGAGAGACACAGGTGTCAGGGGCGGGTTACTAATCCTCTGTTTAACATTGGAGTGAAACTTCTCTCCTCACAATGACACACTCCTCACTGATTTTGCGTCCTCTTCTGTGTTCGATTCCGTTCCAGACTGTGCTTCAGTGACCATTTCTGGCTCAGGGGGCTCAACCCTGCCTCCCTGTGGCCTCCCCACGCTACTGCAGCCTTTCCCACCAGATATGCCCCAAAGCCATTAGCACTGACAACAGGGCTCAGGGACTGGCCCAGGCCGGCCGAGCCGTGTCTGCCGTGTCAGATGGCTGCTGCATTTCTCCCACAAAATACACAGTCAATTCACTTTACAGTATATTCTGTGACGTCTCGAAGACATGTTAAGGCGCTGTATCAAATGCAAGGATTATTATTATATATTACTATTAAACACGTTGAAGATATTTGCCCCGGAGCCAGGGTTACCCTCTCTGCTGCCAGTGCTGCTTACTTTACATTACGTACTCGTTCGGTTCAAACACTTTTTCCTCCATTTTGTCTTTGGAGAAGTCGCTGCGTTTGCGGAGCAGAGTGGGGGAGCGGTAGGTGCCGCTCTGCCCCAGCGCACTCTCATCAATTTCCTTCTTCACAGATTCCACGCTCTGCAGAGAGAAGGACATTAACATTCAGCAATTTTTACATAATCAAAAACAAGAATTGACATTTTTGAGACGGTTTAAATATCACCCTCATTACATCACACAAACACACAGCAGGTCACACCCACCAGTGAAATATGGCTACCAAGGCCTCGGGACGTCCTGCCGACATAAAAAGTGTTATACAAATGTAACTTGTAGTTGTTGTGTACATACAAACTAACTGCTCCCTCACCTAAGTGTACACAAACTCCCCTCCACACCAGCTTTCACTGGACACAGAGAGGCTCCAGAGAAGTCAGGAAAACATCTATTTATTATCTTAAAAAATACAAACAGCAGCCCCTGACACACAATAACAGCAGATACAGCCACATTCCTGCTGCAGATTCAGATAATCTTTATAGGAAAATAGAAATATTCAGCCCAAGAAGCCTGTTCCACCAGTTATTAGATGTTAGATTTTGACAGTTCTTTTAATCCCAATGACTGCCCTTTTGCCATATCTCTTTATATCTCTGCTCTATTGTGCAAGTCTCTGCCTCTCTCCATTTTAAACATTGATCCCACCTCTACAGCTCTCTAGGGCAGAGGTTCCACATCTTCACATCTGCAGTGTGAGAAACGTATCTCTGAGCTCACTTGCTGTCATGGCTCTGAGTCTAAGGCTCTGCCCCCCCCTTGTAATGACACTCGTGCACAGAATCTCTTCCTTCTGATCCCGGAACCCTTCAGTGAGTTCATGTTCTTCACCTTCCCTCCAAAAATACTCAACTCAGCCCAAAACTTTCTGTAACTCCAGAGAAATCGAACACAGTGGCTCCGCAGCAGAAGGAACTGACCTGTGAAATGGCTTTGAAGGCCATGGTTTTGCCGATCTTCTCGCTGCTCTTGCTGACGGACTCCGCTGACTGCTTGGCTGATTTGGCAGCTTCCTCCACGCCCTCCTTTATCTTCTTCCCGAGATCAGATTTACTCACTTCATCCAGGCTCTGCGGGGAGGAGAGGGGCCAGTAAACAACCCACTGCATAACACCAGTGCGACCTGGCACTCGCCCAGCGCTAGCCCACACCCACCACCCCATGACCCCACAAAGCAACACAGCCACACCCAGCGCCATAGCCACACCCAGTGCCACGGCAACGCCCAGCGCTACCACCCCACCCAGCAATCATGTAAGTCAAGCCTAGAGCACGGAGAATCACAGCCGGGCAGATGCCCTGTGTCACCCCAACAGCTCCCCCAGCCTTGGGGACTGTCCCTCGTGCTGTACTATTTCCTCGCACACTAAGTCTTGGAACTATTCCCAGAAAATCTTCAGGGATTCGGGTGGAAAGTCCGGATGGGCTGCACTAAGCTCCCGTTCAATTCCATTCGTCTTGTTACCTCCTCCACCGGAGAGAGAGGACAGCTCTCAGCCTGCCCCCCCCACCCCCAGCCTGCCTGCCTCGCCCCCCCCCCCCACCCTTCCCCACCGTCCTCCTCCCCAACCCTGTCTTCCTCCCCCACGTACCTCTTTTACAGTCTCTGAAAACTCCTCAAGTTTCTTCTTAAATACTCCTGATGTCCGTAGCGTTTCAGACTCAATATTTTTCTGAAAAATAAACGGGACTGTTTAGTACCAGGGAAGGTCAGAGTCACAGCACACACGCACACGTGTACACACTGAAACCCACGGAAGGAACTTACATATTTTTGCCTGGCTTGCTGAAGAGCGTCAGATTCTTCCAAGCGCTTGGCTTCCTCTCGGAATCTCTTGATGCTGTCCTTCATTTCTTTGTTTTTCGTTAGTTCCTGTTTGATGTTTTCCAAAAGCCCTGAGAGGAAGCCTTTCTTACGGTCTGACGAGTAGCTTCGTAACTACAGGTCAAACACAGCCACAATGAGTTGTAATAGAGCTGAAGGTTCAGCCCCCAGACTTTCACCCAATACACACAGAGCTTTGAGGAGATGCAGCTCTGAGGTTTGTTGTGTAGAACTGTTTTTATGAAAGTTATAAAAGATCTCTGAAGGGATTTCTAGCCTTTGTTAAAGTAATTTTCTGTTTCATAAGGTGCCTGAATTCCAGCCTCATCATCGGTCACACCACAAGATGAGCCATCAGGTAAGTCTGGCTTCAAACACACTCCTCCCACCACATCGCCCAGGCTCCCCCCCCAGGCACGCTTGCTCTTGGTAAGTTACCTGATATTGCTGTAGCGCAGACCAGCTGCGTATCCTGTAGACATGGGCCCTGTTCAGTGCTGGCACTCCCAGCCTTGTGGACAGGTTCATACCCCTCATTAGGCACACCTAAATTTAAGGAGAGAGCACAAAATTGTCAGTTACAAAATACAGAAATTTTTGAAAGTACCAATCTGCAGTTTAGAAGGAAACTCTCTCCTGCCACTGGAGTGCTTTGATGCACTGATACCCAGACTGAGCTCCGGATAATGTACAGCTTCTCAACTCTAACCTTGGAGATCGCGAGCCTGGTGCATCCACTTCAAGTAATGGCTCCCGGAACCTTGGGTACAAAAGGGCATTGAGGTGTTGGAGGGAACGGCAAGCTGATTCAAAGGCTCTAAATGCCAAGGTCATGCTCACAGAGCTGAAGGTTTTCACTGGGAGAAGCTTGGGACGAGACATGATCTGACCTGGGTATTTCAAACACCGGTAGAGATACATAAATGGAGATGTAAACAGATTGTGGTGGTCTTTTGACAGAGTGAGTCTCATGACCTTTTCTCATTCCATCCTTATGTTCAAACACTATTGTCAATCTAGAGCACCTGCTCTCACCCACAAATACATCTCTTTATCCACTTTAACATGGGCTGGACAGCGAGTGGAGAATGTTGCACATGACGAATGTCCCTTGGGATCCCACTTGCTTGATTGAATTAAAAGAAAAGCCCAGCTTCCACCATTCCTCTCACTGAAAAACCACTGTGTCGCTCGTGATTTTGTTAAACACAATAACGTGAGTTGTCATTGCACTAAAATGAAGTTTGGGAATGTCATTGGCTGCTTTCCTGAACATTTCTATGCTTCAATGTCACTTTGGAGGGACAGTATCCATACAGAATACACGATTCAACACTAATGTATTAGGCAGACGAGACAATGCTGGCAATCCACCCAACATTAATCTATCTCATTTCAAACATCACAACACAGACATGTTTATCAATTTAATTGACCTACAGCCACTGCAAAGTCCTTTACCTCTAACAAGTTAGAGAGGACAATAAAACTCTTGACTAGATTCCTGTACCCCATATCGAAAATATTTAATTACTTTTCATTGTTTAGGTCTCCATCCTTTAAGGAGCTACAATCACATATATGGTGTTTTTCACAAGGGTAAAAATCTCAAAAAAAGCTCTACATGGGTGAAGTGAGACGGTGAGTGAGACGGGAGCGAGTGGGGAAGGGGGAAGATATCCCATTGCAGTGACCTTAGTGATTCCTGTACACAGCTGGCACGGGTAGGACAGAGGAAATGATATCTGCAAAGTTTCTCACATCAGTGCGAAACTTTGCAGGAAGTAATGTTAGCGTTGACTTGACAATCTGGAAGTTGGTCTTTTTGCAAGTCATGAAGATATGGATGGCAAGGTTTCAACTTTTAGGTAAGAAAATGTCAGGGTCCAAAATCCAGCCCAACCCACAACCCAATCCCATTACAATAATAATAATCCTTGCATTTGATATAGCGAATTATCACGTCTTCGAAACGTCTCAAAGCTCTTCACGGAATATACTGTAAAGTGAATTAACTGTTATCAGGAACCTGAGTTACAGCAAGGCACCACTTGTCGACCTTTCCCATTTTTCCTTCCATAAACTAGAGTATTCAGAACCCTGCAGCTCGTGTCCTCTCCCGCACCAGGCTCCGTGAGCCAATCAACCCCATCTCGCCTGGCTTTACTGGCTCCTCATCTCCCAGAGGATTCAATTCAAGGTCCTAGTCCTCACTTTTAAAGCCCTCCACAGTCTTGCTCCTCCCTACTTCTGCGATTTACTAAAACATTACCAACCTGTCCACTCTCTCCGCTTGGCAGGTACTGGCCCACTCCAAGACCCCCACTCCACTATCGGCAGTCAGGCCTTCAGCCTTTCTGTCTCCCCCAACCTCTGGAACTCCATCCCGGAGCCCCTCTGGACTCTTTTGGTTTAGCCAGCTGGGTCTGAAGTAATCGAGGGCAGTACTGATGACAGACCAAACAGCCTGGCTGGTAGGATTAGAAAGGGCAGAATGGGGGCGGGGATTCTTTCCGATCAGGTCATTAACCCTGCAGGGCAAAGCTCTATTGGGTAGGACCATCCCGGCTAGACAAGCAATGGAAAGCTTGCCAGACAGCAATATCAAGCTATGCGGTTTAGCTGTTTAAACTCCAGCAGTTACCCCAATGCATACCCTGGGGTCCCCAAGCTTTGGCTCTTGCTAACCTGAGCCTAATACTCTCGGGAATTAGGTAAGCAAAATGCTTCTCTCCAGGGAGGGAGTACGCATTCCATTCTAAACATCCGTCTGACCAAAAAAAAAGGAAAGGAGATTTTAGGAGGGAGCTAAAGAGGGGAGGGTTGTACAGCAGACCCAAGGTAGCTGAGCGAATGGAGTGGAGAGTAGGGTTGAAGGAAAAGAAAAAAGTTGTCTCATAATTATGGATGCAATCTCTTAAAAGTACGCAGAATAGGGATCAACTATTTGGCTTGCAATCCAAGTCAGTTTTTTATGCCTAAACATTCATGTTTATCTATCTAGATCTGCCTGCTCAGGTGGACAATAACAACTTGCATCCTCGAGCCCCTGGTCTGGTTTTCGCCCCGACTGCCCACAGCAGAGACGGCGCTTGTCAAAGTCACAAACAACGTCCTCTCTATCTGTGACCAGGGCTCCCTCTGCCTCTTCGTCCTCCTGGATCTCTCTGCTACGTTCGACACAGTCGACCACGCCATCCTCCTCCATCATCTCTTCTCCCTCATCCACTTTAGGGGCACCTCACTCGCATGGTTTGAGTCCCACTCAGCCAACCATTTCATCTCGGCAAATAATTTCTCCTCCTGCATCCGCCTGGTCACCTGCGTGATACATCCTTGGCCTCTTCTTTTCCTTTCTATATGCTCGATGACAACAGCAACAACTTGCACTTATACAGCGCTCTGCATGCCAGGTGGCATCTCAGAGCGTTTAACAATGGTGGAGCCCGAGGCCGAGCCAGGGGGAGGGGGAAGATGACAGTAGGCGCACTCGAAAAGGAAGGTCTTCAGGCGCGACCTGAAGACGGGGGGAGGAGGGGGCCAGACCAAGGAGTCCAGAGTTTCGGGGTGCAGTGGCTGAAGGCACGGCTGCCGATGGTGGAGCAGAGGATTCGGGGGACACGGAGGAGGCCGGATCCAGTAGATTGGAGGCAGCAGGTACTGCTGTGGGGAGAGGTTAGAGAGATGGGGGGGGGGGGCAAGGAATGCAGGGATATGAACACTAGAGTGAGGGTCTTGGTTGATCCGCTCTATGATAGGGAGCCAGTGGAGTTTGAGAAGGACTAGAGTAATCGGGGTAAGGAGTTTGGTGCGGGTGAGAATGCGGGCAGCGGAGTTTTGAATGGGCTCAATTTTGTGAATAGTGGAGGAGGAGAGACCAGCGAGGAGGGTGTTAAAGTCATCCAGCCGAGAGGTGACAAAAGCACGGACAAGGGTTTCGGCAGCTTTTGGGATGAGCTTTTGGGATGAGCTTTTGCCCATTGGAGATGGGCAATGTGGCGGAGGTGGAAGAAAGCGGTGCTGGTTAGGAACCAGATGTGAGGGAGGAAGGATAACTGGGGATCGAACCTGATGCCTAAGTTGTGTACAGGTTCAGAGAGTTTTAAGGACAGGTCGGGTAGGTTGAGGAGGTCGGAATCATGGGTCAAAAGACGTCGATGGGAGCCAAAGAGTATGGGTTCCATCTTGTTGAAGTTTAACTGCAGGAAATTACAAGCTGACAGAACATCAGGGACTGGGGGTCGCAGCTGAAGGTGGAAAAGTAGAGTTGAGTGTCATCCGCATACATGTGGAAGTTAACCCCGTGCCTGCAGATGACATCACCGAGAGGGAGCATATAGATGAGGAAGAGAAGGGGCCAAGGATGGATCCTTGGGGTATCTGCCCCGCAGGTGACTGGGTGGAAGCGAGAAGAAAAGCCATTTGCAGAAATGTAGTGCTGGCGGTTTGTGAGGTAGGACTGGACCCAAGTGAGTGCAGGTCCCACTGAGGTGAATGATGATGACCCATAGGCGCGGTGGAGGAGGATGGTGTGATCAACTGTATTGAATGTGGAGGAGAGGTCCAAGAGGACGAGGAGGCAGAGGGAGCCCTGGTCACAGATAGAAAGGATATCGTTGGGACCTTCACGAGTACTGTCTCTGTACTGTGAGCAGTCAGGGCGGAAACCGGACTGGAGGGGTTCCCTCTGGGCGATGTCATCCGCAGACACGGCTAAACTTCCACATGTTTGTGGATGACACGCAAATCTACTTTGTCTCCTCCAGCATCAACTCCAGGTCTGCTGGTGTTCTATCAGCTTGTCTGGTCACATCAGGGCCTGAATGAATGCAAACTTCCTGCAGCTGATTGTGGACAAGACGGAAGCCATAAAAAATAATAAATTGGTCACTTCAATCCACGACTGTTTGTGGGACGCTGCTGTGCACAAATGCTGCTGCATTTCGCCCACAAAATATACAGTCAATTCACTTTACAGTATATTCTGTGAACCGCTTTGAGACGTCTCGAAGAGGTGAAAAAGAGGAAGGTCTTCAGCCCCAACATGAAGATGGGCAAGGTGGAGGGATAGAGGAAGACTGTTCCAGAGTTTCAGGGAGTAGTGGCTGAAAGCATGGTCACTAATGGTGGAATGGACGGCATCAGGGGCATGCAGGAAGCCAGAGCCAGTCGAGCGGAAGCAGCGGGTAGTGAGTTGAGGAGTAAGCAGGTCGGAGAGGTAGGGAGGTGCCAGGGCTTGAAGGGATTTGAAAATGAGTGTGAGGAGCTTGAAATCAATCCATTCAGTGATAGGGAGACAGGCTAGAGCTGGTGTAATGGGGGTACAGAGTTTACTGTACAGAGTTTTGGATCAGCTAGATTTTGTGGATTGTGGAGCTGGTGACCAGCGGGCATTTGAAAAGTAAAGGCGGGAGGTGACGAATGCATGGAGACGTGTTTTGGCTGCGTCTGGTACGGTCGGTGATGGAGGAAAGTGCTTCTGGTCAGGGACCGGGTATGGGGAAGGGAAGACGGACAGACAGCTGTGAGTCAAATCTGACGCCAACGTTTTGCACCAGTTCGACAAGTTTGAGGAATAGGCCGGGGAGGTCGAGGATGTCAGAGCCGCGGGAGCCAAGGAGTGGCTTCTGACTTGTCGACATTTAGTAGCAGGAAGTTTGCGCTCATCCAGGCCCTGATGTCCACCAGACAAGGCCAGAGTGGACCTGGAGTCACAGCTGAAGGAGAAGTAGATTTGTGTGATTTCCGCAGACGTGTGGAAGTTGACCACGTGTCTGCGGATGACATCGCCCCGAGGAGCACGACTTTACAGTGTGTTAAACAGCCAACAACGGCTATTCAAAAAAACGTCACGAGCAAAGTCCTGACCTGACTGACCATCTCCCACATAATTGGGTCATTCACTTCATGGTGGGACACAAAGCGTTTGCCAACAAAAACAGTCACTACACTTCACAGTCAAGTCCTGTGAAGCAATTTGAGAAATCTGGGTATCGGCCCCTCCGCCCCCAATAACGCTGTGACTTCTGTTTAGCCCTCAGTCCCGGACCCCGACCCCTCCCCCACCCCGTGCGGGGCAGCGCCAGCCCGACCCTCCCCAGGCCGGGCTCACGCTCTGTGCCTCTCCGGCCGGACTCTGGCTTCAGCCGCACCCACAGGGCCTGTCCCCGCTCGGCCACACAGACTCGGAGCCGAGCCGAGCCGCCAGCAGTGACCTTGGGCCCGGGCCCCGCGCGCTCCCAGTTCCCGGCGCCGCTCACCTGCGCGCAGCGCCCCCAGGCCGCCGCCATCTTGCCCTGACCTTCAGCCGCGCCTGCGCACTGCCCCCACAGGCACACAGCCCCGCCCACAGGCCCACAGACCCGCCCACAAGCCCACGGCCCCGCCCACAGCCCCACAGACCCCCCCCACAGCCCCGCCCACAGGCCCACGGCTCCGCCCATAGGCCTACAGCCCCGCCCGCAGGCGTACGGCCCCGCCCACAGGCACAGGGCCCCGCCCACAGATACACAGTAAATGAGAAAACAGTAATTCTCTTTATTTCTTCAGTATTTGTAATAATAATTTTGTATTTGTATTTGTAATTTGTATTTGTAATAATAATTTGTAATAATAATATTGAACAGACAGTAAAGTGAATTGACTGTATATTTGTGGGTGAAACGCAGCAGCCAATTGCGCACAGCAATGTCTGTCCCACACACAGCCGGGGATTGAGCGACCAAATTTATTATTGTTTTTTTCTTAAGCGATTATTATCAGGCGTGTGTGTGGAGTAAGGAGACTTGCCCAAGGTTCACTGCCGGGAATCAAACCCAGGTCTCTCGCTTGCTAAGCGAGTGTCGCCTTGCAAGCGAGAGATCTGGGTTCGATTCTCAGCAGGGTGAACCTTGGGCAAGTTTCCTTACTTACTACACACGCCTCTGTTTACCGAGCAGTGAGTAGGAACCCGGTTGTTAGTTAATTGGCCGACTCTTTTCATTCCCTCAACCTGGTGATCACTCGGGGCCTCACCATCTTAGACCTCACCATCATCAACAAAGCTATCTCGGTCCATCAATTCATCACCCTTAATTCTTCAATCCGTCTCCCCATCACCACTCAACCCACCTCCATCTACATACTGCCCCTGGAAAAATATCTATCCCCTGCCTCTCCGCTGCCCTGGAGTCATGTGAACTCCTCTAGGCTTCCTCCTGCAATGACCTCCTCAGTCACTCTCCTCCACAAATCCCTCTCCACCACTCTCGATGCCCTTGCTCCCCTCACAACGGGAACCATCTCCTACTCATGAGAGTCACCATGGTACACCAGCCATCTCCGCTCCCTTAAAGCACAGTTGTGTGCTGCTGAATACACCTGGCTTAAATCAAACTTAACGGTCCATCAGTAAATCTGGCTGGATCTTATCAAATCTTACCGCTCTGCCCTCGTCTCTGCTGAATCGTCGTTCTACTCCAAGACAATCTTAGAGGCCAAGGACAACACCAGGCTCCTCTTCTCCATCACCAACCAGCCCCTCTGCCCACCCTCTCACGCCTCGCCCATCCTCACCTCCAATGCCACCTGCGAGGCGACGCTGGACTTCCTCAAATCCAAAGTCGAGAGGATCCACTCAGCTGCCTCTGCCCTTCTGTCTACTACCCACTCTCCATCTCCTCCTCTCACCCCAGCCCCTACCCATCCCTCCCTCCACATCTTTGAACCTGTGTCCCCCTCCTCTCTCACCACCACTAGAATCCACATGAAACCGACCAACTGCTCCCTCGATCCATCCCTACCCCTCTCCTTACCTCCCAGCTCCATCTGTTTGCCCCTCCACTCACAGACATTATAAACCTCTCTCTGTCCACTGGTACTGTTCCCACCCCTTTAGAAATGGCCTCAATCACTCCTATCCTTAAAAAACTTCCCTGGACCCATTCCTGCTCTCAAACTACTGCCCCATCTCCAACCTCCCTTTCCTCTCCAGGGTTCTGGAATGAGTTGTTCCTACCCAGCTTCACTCCTTCCTCTTCCACCATTCCCTTCATGAACCCCTCCAATCGGGTTTCCGTGCCACCCATAGCACAGAAAAAGCCCTGGTCAAAGTAACAAATGACATTCTGTCCATCTGTGACAAGGGCTCGCTCTGCCTCTTCGTCCTCCTTGACCTCTCTGCTGCCATCAATACCGTTGACCATTCTATCCTTCTCCACTGCCTCTCCTCTCACCTCAACCTTCAGTGTTCTAGCCTTGAATGGTTCAGATCGTACCTCTCACATCGCCTCCACAAATAGTTTCTCCTCTAGCTCCTCGTCACATGTGGCATTCCTCAGGGCTCTATCTTTGGTCCCCTCCTCTTCAATATCTATTTGTTCCCTCTTGGTGACATCATCCGCAGACATGAGGTCAACTTCCACATGTATGCAGATGACACGCAATTGTATCTCTCTGCCTCCACCCTTGACTCCAGGATCCATTGCTGTTCTGACGGAATGTCTGTACTTTCTTCAGTCAAACATCAACAAGACCAAGGCCCTCCTGATTGGCTTCCATCTCCACACCTCAGGTGCTGACAGCACCACCATCCAAGGATACACACTCCAACTTGCTAAGCAGTACCACAACCCTAGCGTCTTGTTTGACCCTCAACTATACTTTCTACTCCACACCCGTGCCATCGCCCGGCTCCACCACTGTCTCATACTGCAGGCCGCCGAAATCCTCATACACCCATTCATACCACTGAGGCTTGACTATGCAAACTCACTGTTAGTCGGCCTCTTCAACTCCGCCCTCCATAGGTTGCAGATTATGCAGAACTCTACAGCCCATGTTCTCTCCCGCACCAGGTTCCGCCATCACCCCCATTCTCACCCAACTCCCATCACACAGAGGATACAGTTCAAGATCCTGGTCCTCACCTTCAAAGCCCATCATGGCTTTGCTCCCTCTACCTATGCAATCTCCTAACCTCCTACCAACGCTCCCTCTGCTCAGCGGGCTCTGGCCTGCTTCATGTCCCCAACCTCGCATGCCCCACCTTCAGCCACTCTGCTCCCACCCTCTGGAACCCCATCCTGCCTCATCCCCTCCCTTGCCTCCTTCAAGACCCATCTTAAAACCCTCCTCTTCGATTGTGCTTTTGATCACCCTCCTTCCCCCTCCCCGCCTTCCACACTCTCCATTTCCGACCCCCAGCTCGAGCCCGAAACACTGATTGTCCAGTGCCTTGGAACGTTCTCCCAATGTGAAAAGCAATTAACAAAGGTAATTTTGTTGTTGTTGTCTCGAAGACATGAAAATGCATATGCCAGGATTATTATTATTATACAGTATTCTTGCCTGTAAAAAATCCTGGAATCTAAAGAGAGGTCAGAGGTTTCAATACAATGTTAAAATCATAAGGCAGCAGAATATCAAAATGAAACTTGATTGTCCTAGAGCAAGACTTCGGGATCCCAGAATATGCACGGAGGTGATGCTGAACCAGCTAAAACCACATAGCTTGCCATCGAGAGCATTGTCTGGTAAGCTTCTTGCTGCTGTCCACTGTGGACCACCCTACCCGTTACGTAATCTTACAGAGATAACAGATTTGAGAGACAAGAATCTGCACCCCTCTTAAGTCCTGTCAATGAGCCAGGCTGGTATGTCCAGTGCCCTGGATAACTGTAGACCCACTCAGCTAAGAATGTCAAACAGGAGCCAGTCCAATGCCAAGGAGCCTTTTTTTCACCTCCGCCACATTGCCCGCCTCTGTCTGTACCTCACACCCACAGCAGCTGAAACCCTCGTCTACACCTTCATCACTTCCCAGCTGGATTCTCCACCACCCGCTGCTTCCGCTCAGTTGGCTCCGGTCTTCTGTTCGTCCCTTGCTCTCTCCGTTCTACCATCGGCAGCCGTGCTTTCAGTCACTATGCCCCAAAGCTCTGCAACTCTCTTCCCCAATCCCTCCGCCTTATCCCCTCCCTCCCTCCCTCCCTTCCTCCCCACTTTCACATCCCATCTAAAGACCTTCCTTTTTGATTGTGCTCCCACCTCCCTCTCCCCCTGGCTCGGGGTCAGACTCCGTCATTATTAAATGCTCCAGAACGCTAACAGGCATGAAGGGCAATATAAATGTAAGTTGCTGTTATTCAATTATCTCCCTTGTTTGCTTGATATTGCAAACTTTGGTCAACTAGATATCTGACACTTTTGGAAACCCATCAACATGCTTTTAACAACAACAAAATGACATTCATATAGTGCCTTTGAGTATCTAACAACAACTTGCATTTATATAGTGCCCTTCACATGGGGTGGGGTCCCGAAGCGCTTGACAGTAGTGAAGGGATGAACAGGAGGTTGAAGCCAGCTGAGCGGAGGAAGTGGGTGGGGAAGTGGTGTCAGAGAGGTAGGGAGGTGCGAGAGCATGAAAGGATTTGAAAACGAGTGAGAGGATCTTGAAGTCAATCCGTTTGGTGATTCGGAGCCACTGGAGTCTGGCAGGGACTGGTGTGATTGGGGGACGGAGTTTCATGCGGGTGAATATCCGGACAGTGAAGTTTTTAAATAGTTGAATTTTGTGTATGGTGGATCTCGGGAGACCAGCAAGGAGGGTATTGGAATAATCCATCCGGGTATGGCCAAAGGCATGGACGAGGGTTTCTGCTACTTTGTGTGAGGTACGGACAGAGATACGCAATGTGATGGAGATGGAACAAAAGCGGCGCTGGTCAGGGAAAGGATGTGGGGTGGAAAGGAAAGCTGGGGATTGAACCTGATGCCTAAGTTGTGCACAAGTTGGTGAGTCTGAGGGAGAACCTGGGGTAGTTGAGGAGTTCAAACCCACAGGAGAGAAGTCGTTGATGGGAGCCAATGAATACGTCAGTGCCTCCGCACCTCAGGCAGCATCAGCATCCATGGATGCACACTCCAACTCACCAAGTCAATCAGGAACCTAGGCGTTCAGCCCTCAACTATCTTTTCTCCCCCATATCAATGCCATGACCTTCTCTGCCTTCTCCCACCTCTACAATATTGCCCAACTCCACCATTGCCTCAACCCTCCAGGCCACCAAAACCCTTTTACGCATTCATCACCTTAAGGCTCCTGTTGGCCTACCCAACTCTTCCCTCCAAAAGCTGCAGATCATCCACAATGCTGCAGCTCATGTCCTCTCCCGCTCCAGGCTCAGTGATCTCATCACTACCACCTTTGCCCGGCTCCACTGGCTCCCCATCTCTCAAGAGGATAGAATTCAAACTCCTCGTCCTCACTTTCAAGGCCCTCCATGGCCTTGACCCCTCCTATCTTTTTGACCTGCTGACTCCGTATCAAACGGTCTGCTCCCTCCGCTCAGCAGGCTCCGGTCTAGTCTAGGTCTCCTGCCCA